TGAAAGATCGCGCACCCCGAGCCAGCCTTAGTATTCGTTAAAACCCGTCAAAATCTTGGAACACATACCCCTGCAACTTGGGCAGAGGCGCATATATTGATGAATCCGAAGCGTAAGCTACGAGCTGACTTGCTCTAGGAGATGGATTAATATTAGAAAGCCGGAACGAACCTCCCCTCTCTTGCACTATTGCGGGATCGACGGTAAGCCGACTAAATAGAAACGGAGCAAGCTGCCTCGATCGCAGACCGACATTCGATATTGCAGATCGCATTGAGTGACGAAAAATATATACCCATCTGCTCACCAATACGCATTGGTGAGCAAATGTTCCCGCCCTGCACAAAGCTGCTAACCAATTTCTACGTGAAATGGCAGCAAGTTCCCTTCACAACTCGGCTACACTCCCTGCGGTGCCACTCTTTAGGTTCCTTGCCCAAACATGCCCACTAATGGGCGGGAGGGGCTTCTAACTTGACTTGGATAGTCCGAACTGGTTGGCCGTTTTGACAGGTCGGATCCCAACCGGGCGGGCTCTTCCGGTGCACCATTCATCCAGCGGCCCCAGCCGCCATACCCATCCTGAAGAGATGGGCGTTCGCTGGTTCAGGCAAAGTAGTCATCGACAAGGATACTGGTGTAGGTCTGTGCTGCACCTCATGGCGGTACACGTACTTCAGAATGGAGTCAATGTTGTTCACACATCACGGGACGAGGAGCACGAGTGGACTCGGAGCAAACTGAATTAATATACAAGTAGGATCAAAATGGGGGCGAGGGAGTCTAGGTCGCGTATCCGCTCCTTATTATATTCAAACCCTCGTGTGGCACTTTAGCGACAGCCCAACTGACAACTGAGGCTGTCCTCGACAGAAACACCGCCGTTAAAACCCACCAGCAAGTCTCCGAAGCTCACCGCCTTTAGCCTCCTTCCCGACCCCCTCTCTGAACGATCATCTCCTTCACCCCAAAAGGGGTGCGAGTTTTAATTGCCTTGATCGAGTCGTCGACTCCTGTCATACGGGCCAACAAATTCTCGCTTCCCGAGATGCCTTGGAAACAGAGACACAGATAGCTTGCGGAAGTCGAAGTTTCAATTTTGAAGTATCAAGCGGCCGGCTGTACATCGATGTCGAGAGATCTCCGGGATCGCTCCGGGACTATGAACACGGGTTGGATTTATTTAACTCTTGTCATTCAATGCCTTGGGCATCCTTACATCCTCCCAGTCCCCACCCATCAGCAGGTTGCTGGCGAAGCTGTCTCCGCACCCAAACGTGTGGGCTCTAGTCTCGACACGTCTGTTTTTGCCTACCACAGTACACGTACATCGTTTGGTGCCGACTACTGTACGTGTACTTGCATGAAAGCACTACCCTCACAGACAGGAATTGGCGGCCGGAAGTGAACGCACATGAGCATGCCATACGCCTCATGCGGAAAGAGGCAATACTAAGTATGACCCACCCGGCGTTCTGCGTCCATGGTATCGAACGTAACAGGCGGGAAACAAGGAGTGATATTGAAGGCAAGTGCATTCTGTGAGACCTCGTCGACTGGTGGTGAACGGCGAGGAGGACGCGGTTCGATTAACAGCGCATCCCCCTTCCTTTTTGTTCTTTTTTAATGCTCTTGGGAAACACAACACCTTCGTTTAGAGATAGGACGTCCTGCACCACCTCGAGTCAGTAGTGTAGCTGGGACGTGATCGAGGTTTGTGACCAAGGAGACAATCACAAAGGACTGCACGAGATGCCATGGCTGAGATGTCTGCTCATAATAACCGCTTATTCAAGGACCTCGTCCGTTCGGTACAAGCGCGCGGGCATGAGAAAATCGGATATCACTGGCCGGAGGCTGCCCATTTCGCTCGTCACCCCTGTATCCTTGAGAGCGAGGGTCTAGTCCTCTCGTCCCCATGGAAGCCCCGTTTCTTGACTGACCATACTGTAGGTTTTTGAACCCACGCCCCTCCCCGCGACGGCTCGGGGCTTGTGCTCGTCGCCCCGGTTTAATCACTCTGCTGAAAGGGGGTTCGTTTTTCTCTCGTTTTTTTTTCTTCTCTGGGCCACCCCCTACACCCCTTGGTGGATAGGAGGGTTCCCACTCGCACCCTGGTGCACCAGAGTTCCCAAACATGAAAGACGTCTTGTTGAAGAATCAATCAGAAGTCGGTTACATCCCCTTTTAAACATGTTCTCGAGGGTACTCTTCCTAGGCATTACGACATGATTATATTGCCCTGGGCTGGGTGGCTTAGGATTTTCGCGTCCAAGGACAGGAGGGAGTCTACAAATCGGGTGCGACCCTGACAGGCCCCTTCGATCCCCATCCACAGCTGCACTGCACAAGTACTCAAGAAGACATTCTCTGTACCGCCCTCCTTGCTCCCATGATTTCATTTTTCTCTTTGAGCCATCCACTGGTCTTCTTTTGAGCCCCTTCTGACGAAATTTCGGCACCTCAAATTCCTGGTACCGGACAAGTACACTCTTGCCTAAAAACGCCAGACCCTCTTGGCCCCCTGTACGCCCTGGGATGGGTGGTGCCCACTTTCCTGTCCAGCTTTAACTGCCTGGTCGTCCTGCCTCAACTTCCACCTGAACACCTTTCTCTCTTTTCGCTGTCGTTTTTCTTCCTAGAGGTTTTTGTTCTTCTTTACCCTTTCTTCCCTTTCTTTTTCACCATCCTCCACTCTCCTTTCCTTCAAAAAAGAAATGTGGATGTAGAGAAGCATATCATCGAACATTTTCCGCCTCGCAACCACTACCTTCGAACGGTACATGCTAGCGTCATCGCCGCCCGCATCATTCACGCTCTCGGATCAACTCGCCTAGGTCCTCAGTTACGCTGCAAGACCCCTGCTGACGGATCTTACATGTATGTTTTGTGCCCGAACCGACCAGCACCCACGCATACAATCCAGCCTCCTGCTCAGATAAACAAGTCTTCACCGGCTTTTCTTCGAAACTCTTCTGAGCCGAGCGCATGCAGGAAATCCAAGAGTGGATAGGCATTGGCGCGTTTCCAGCAGCAGAGGAAGCAGCGGTGTCAGGACCCATGCCCAGATTGGGCAATCCAAAAATTGTATAAGCCCGATCGAACATCCCACTCCTCCTTCCACCGAGCCCCGAAGCATCAATCCTCTCGAAGTCAAGCCTGCCATCTATACTATTAACATTGTTTTACCACAATATCCCAGCATCCTGTCGCACCTCCTTCAACACTTCAGGATCACCCAATACATTAGGCGTCGGTCTCCGTCTTTTTCTTCTTTTTTTTTCTTTGCAAAAGCTCTGCTATATATCATTAGTTTTATGGGCGTAACCTTGTCACCGCCAGTTGACGATAGCATCGGTGGCAAGCAAAGACGGATTTCGGTGTCACGAATTTGCCATAAACGAGCTCAAGTCCTGTTCGTAGGGGAGATCCTACGTTCTATAACCATCAGTCATTGAGCACCCGTCGGCGTGGGTCCATATTAGAAACTCATCTAGTGTTGGGAGAGACGTTTCTGCATCCCGGGCTTGCTGGGAACGCTTATTGGGTCGTAGGCGCGCCTTCCCCGAACCGTCCGACAACCCGCCACAAGCCTCCTAGGACGGAGGACTACCTTCCTCGGCGTTCGAAGAACAACAGCAACCCTGGCGATCCAGTCTGTTGGGCGGAGTAACCAAGCTCCACAAGTGGCAGCTGAAGTTGCGGACTTGCCCAGTAGTGGCAGCAATCATAACCTCTCGACTTCGACGGCACAGCGTGAGAGACTTGGAAGGGACGGTCTCCCCTTTTCCCTCCCGTCAGGGTCAGGAGGCTCGTCATCTGCAATTCGATATTCGCCCGAAAGCCAATGTTTGGATCCTATCCATCCGGCGTGTACAGGGGAATCTTCGATGTCGCAGAGAGACCCTGCGTCTCGCCCTCTCTCCCGCGTCTCATCACCCTCCTCCCGGAGCATACCTTTGACTTCAGCGGCGGCCTCGACCTCGGCTTCTTTACCCGCTATCGTTGACTTCCGGGGCGAATATTCATTCAAGCCCGTAAGGGACATTACTGAGCCCACCCGCTCCCTCCACGGCGGGGACGGCGCCTCATCTGTTCCACATGCGCGCGGGTTCCACTCCATCCTTAATCCATTAAACGTTCAGGCTCAGGGCGATGCCCCTCCAGTAGCGAGTCAACATCCAGGTTCTTCCAGCGGAAAGCGTGCCGCCGACCTAACTAGTCCCCAAGGAGCAATTGCCCCGAGCCACCACATTCAACAGCAATCGTATTCTCCCCATCCTTTTGCACAGGTGGGCAACAACCCGCCATCTAGATCCCCTCAAACGGAGATTGGTCTCCCGGGCCGCCCGGTGGAGGCCGAGGGTCTCCAAAGTCCGCTACTCCATTGCCAGCACTCAACAACCCAAGGGCCTTTGCTAGCCCAAAGATGCCGCGGGTTCACAGTCTCCACAACCCCCAGTGCACAAGCTCGGCGAAAGAATGGACCAGCGGGTCATCTCAAGTACCGCTGGTGTCAAGCGGCCCTATGAAGAAAGTTTACCGTCGACCACGAGTAGCTCTCTTCCTCGACCCTCTCTTTCGTATGCCCCTCCTTCCACGCCTGTATCGTCAGCCCTACCCTCCGCGGCGCCGCTGGGCCTCCCAAGTGGAGGACTTCGATCCGCCTCGCAACCAATCTTAGCAGAGCACCGCACTCCCACAGTCCAGCATTCTGCTCTGCCGCAGCCATATCCATCCGATGCACCTCGAGTATCGTTGGCTCAGCAGCACCAACCACCGGCAGCGTTAACAACTGGCCCACCCCAAACCCACAGTTCTTCCTCTAGTCCGTGGGACTCACGCGCGAGTCTTGGCCAACCGCCAGTGTTTGGATCTGGGCAAGCCCAGGAACAAGAAACCGGGCCGTGGAGCGCGAGCGGCGCCGCGTCCCACAGTGCCAGTCGAAGTCGGGCACGGGCTCGAGCGAACGGTCAGAACCTCCATCATCGTACCTTGAGATGAACCCACCAGGCGGGGAAAGGTATCTAGTGGAGATTAACACGCAGATTGCGTCTAAGCAAGCAGATGAGAAGCGGCAACGCAATGCGGGAGCTTCGGCGCGTTTCCGACAGCGTAGGAAACAGCAGGCATTGGAGGACAAGAACAAGATTATGCAACTAGAAGAGGAGAAGAGGGCCCTGGAGGCGAGACTCCAGGAAAGCATGCATCATAGGGACTTTTACAAGAACGAGCGTAACAGACTACGCGATATTGTGCTACGAACTCCAGGTATCAGCGAGTCCGCACTGACAGGCCCGCGAAGCCCGCCAACCTCGAACTTCAGCCTCGGTGGGTTTCCCGATCAGGCCCAGATGTCCCGAGCAGGACCGCCACCGAACATGCCCACATCACACGGATATGCTTCGAGCGAGACATCTTCGATTGAGCGGCCGACCCGACGTCGGCGAACGGACCAGACTCCGGATACCGGTGCCTTGACAGCTACATATGCCCATCAGCCCCCAGGGACACGGCCTTCCCCCGATCGCGGCGCCTTCGTACGGGCTGCCCCCTTCCCGGCCTCCATCGGCGTCGTCGACAGGTGAAACCCTTCCTCCGATCAGAGGTTTAGAGGGCGGGGCCCCCATGAAACGGGCGCCCATGCAGGTCCCCCAGGGCCCTACTATCCGGGTCACCGAGCGGCGTATGAGTCGGGCTGGGCTCACCGGCAGGGGGTCCTTCGGAAGGGAATCAACGATGATGAGATGTCGCCCCCGCGAGCGGTATCCTTTGGCAGGAGGGGGAAGGCGTGCGCGTGCATGAGATGTGGGGCCAACAGTATCCCCCACCTCCTAACCCCCATCCCTTCCAAAGGATAGTAGTCTCTTTGTAAAAGAAGAGATGAAGTTTGTTGACCTACGGTGGGGAGACCCTTGCTGGACCCCAAGGCTTCTACCGGTCGAAGTCTTATACCACCACCCCTAGACGGGCCTTTTACGCTCGAAAGAGCTCCTTTCCTTTGTTCTTACAAGATCTCCTTTGTTCAGTTTCAAGACTTGCATATGTGGGCGACCACAGAGGATGCCGGTAAGGAGCAGCGACCGGCTTCTTTTCATACCGTGATTCAATTTTTATCTCTTCTCGTTTCCTCTTCTTTTTCTTTTCTGTCTTTCACAGTCTATTCTTCTCTTGTTCGGGTTCGACCCAAAGGCTTTGTTCAGCTCGACATCTCGGCACATCCCTCCTACTCTGGTAGGACACAAACATACAAGTTGTCCCCATGCTTTTACGGATCCTGGAACTTTCGAAAATAAAGTTTCGAGCATGTCCCTTGGCAGCTACTCTACTTCACCATGTCAGCCCTCTCCGCAAGTGGCTCATAGATGCAACGGCGCAGCCTACACGCAATCTAGGTACGGCACCAACGCGGCGGTGAGGAATGGGAAACACGAAAACGGCTAGCCAAGGATGGCTTGACGTGGAGTTTCGTCTCGACGAGTAAATGGCTACATGCAGGCCTTGAAGCAAAGGTTGAGGAACATGATCTCAGTGGGTTGGGTTGGTGGGCTTGGGATTGGTTCGTTCTGAAGCCCTGGAGTTGACTAGAGTGTTCAATGTTGACTTTCACACACTCTCCCTACTCCCTCTCCGTCTTTCCCTCTTTCCCGTCGCTTACAACGCTCTTTTTATTTCCCTTCGCTCCCAACCATAAGATAGACGGCCCGACTGTGATTTGGATAGGATCCATCAGGTTTGTTGTCCGTCCCCCCTTCTCTCACCCCTCTCCCTCGTTATCCTTTGATATGTCTTGGTCCTTTTGTTCAGAGACTATTTTTTTTTCCAAACCCTGTTTGTTTTGTTCCGAAGGATGATACCACCCAGATTGATTTTTTTCTTTGGCTTCCCAGCCCGTTTATCCCCCTCTACAGCGTTCATATTCCATCTACCCAGGATTTCTTTTGCTCTTTTTTTCCCCGGGGATGTTCTCTTTTGCTTTTCTTGAATAACCCTGCCTGCAAATCGATACCATCTAGATTGCCTGCCTTGCCCCTTGAATTTACCTTGCAGTGCTTGAATTCTGTTTTCTCGGCGTGGAAGAGGGAAAAGGCTTGCCCGCCACTACATCCATTGTATGTACTGATTCCCCTACAGAGGAACCATTCCTTTTTTTTTTTTTCTATATCATTTGTTTTGCATGCATGGAAGAGTTTGGAGTTGTTTCTCCTATCCCTATCTGGTTCTTGCGTTTATTTTATCGCTTTGATGCACAAAAATACCCCCTCCAATCCGCTGTTGCCGAGGTTTTCTTTTCTTTTCTTTTTATACCCCTATATCTTTCTTTTCTTTTTTTTTTGATTCTATTATATCTTGTCCCTTGCTTCAACTATAGGCCATTGTTGGGCCATGAGCCTGGAGGGTGTCGTGCATACTTTGCGTAGGACCAGAACAGAACTAGCGGTATGTAAGTAGATTGAAATTGTTAGACCCTTTTTTTTTTGGCCTGTTTTATCTCCGTCTACCTGATCTCTTACGTGTAGATCCATTGATATATAGATATAATAGATGGATCTACTTTGGTATCATGTTGGGCTCTGCTTCAAGTTCTCATGGGAGACTTTTTTTCTTTTCCTTTTTCCTTTACATGTACGGTCCAAGGCTATTCTGGGAGGAAATCGAGAGGAATACCTCGGTAGAGGAGTCGTTTTGGTGCATAGTTGGTACACGAGGACTGACTAGATCGACCTACACATCTACACATCTATTACATCTAATATGTACTGAATGCATGTATAGTTGGGCGTCACCGCAGGAATCAGGGTCTTAAGGGCTCTAACCACGCCTCCCTCAATGAACACCTAAAAACAACTAAGACACACCCATTATTAGAAAAAGAATATTTGGTAGATTCGACCCAGATGAAGCAAACCATGGGTTTCTAATGGAATACGTTCTTCTCTTTTCTCCTCCCTCTCCTCCTCTTCTCCTCCTCTCCCCCTTCTCTCTATGGATTAGGTTTCCGCCACTCTGCCCTGCGAGAGGTGCATGTTTCTTGGGCAAGGTGCCATTACCGTTTTGTGCGTGTGTGCGTATGTGCTAGGTCGACAAAAAGCACCAATGAGGTGCGATCCAGACAATGAATCTGGGCACAAAGCGAGCCGTCATGTCATGCGCGCGCACGCGGATGGGCGGCGGCGAGGGGGAAACAAAGTTCGACGAATCGAGAAAATGGGCGGCGCAGAGACAGGGCAGATGACAGGGCAGTGGACATGGCAAGGAAGGGGAAGGACAGGAGCAGGGCAGGACAGGGCGCAGGTCGAAATGCCCTCCTCACCTGCATTCGATCCGCTGGAGTGCAGCCCAAGGGCAACGAGGCGGGAACGTGTCGTCACAGATGTGGACAGTCGTTGGGCACCAACGAGTAGAAGGGGTTGCATGGGCAGAGCCAGAACTTGGATGGAAGAGGAAGCAGGGGTGTTGAGGGGGAGGGGGTGGGCGGGCTGGCGGGCTTGAACGTGGAGAGCGGTTCGGGTGGCATCTACGCTGTATGCGCGCGTGTGTGATTAAAATGTGTGAGGAATGGATATATACCAATGATACGTGCGTGTACCTAGGCAAATGTGAATGTTAAATAGTATTTCTATTTTTTTCTTATTTTCTTTTTCCCCTTTCTCTTCTTTTTTGTCTTTTCTGATAGTTTCGGATTGATGAATGTGTGCGGATAATGCATTCACAGCTTCTTCGGAAGAGGGTTTTTGGCCGCTGGTGTGATTTCCTGCAGATGCGCGTCACGAGCTGGGGGAGTGTGGGTTAGGATTGATTGATTGTGTCTGGTGTTTGTGCCTGTTTCTATGGGCCCATGTGTGTAAGTGTGTAAGTGTGGTCGTGTGGATGTGTGTGTGTGTGTGTATGGATGTGTGTGTGTATGTATGTGCGTGTGCGTGTTCAATGTCGATTGATGCGGGAGGGCAACAAGGTGGTTTGAAGGCAAAGGGGGTGGGAGTGTGCACTACGCTCGCCGACGAGGAGCCCAAGGAACCATTGTGAGGTGAGGCCGGGAATTGTCTTGGTTTTTGACCGAGCTATCCACAAATCTTTCAAACGACCCCTCTCCCTCCTCCTCTTTATAGAGAAAACATGTAGGAAGACTGTTTTATTCCATATTCCTTGAAGATTTCGTTGTTCTATACCACTTTGCGTTTAGTTTAGCCGAGAGAAAGGGGAGGGGTGTGGAGGAGAGCGTAAAACAGTCAAATGGATGGATGGATGGATGGATCCAAGATCAATAGACCCATTAGCGCCATTTGATAGATGCGATAGGGCCCTTTGGTAGGGGTCCATCGGAGCGGAATCCCAAATCATCGTGGGTTCGCTCACCTCTTGGTTAGTGGAGTACAAGAAAAGAAAAAGAAAAGAGCAAAAGCAAGGCCTGGGACGGCACGAAAGGGACGCGGGAGGAGGCGAAGCGCACAAGACCCAGGACAGGAAAGCGGGAAAGCGCAAAAGGAGGATAGGGGACAGAGGACAGTGACGTGTTCATCCACCATGATCATCCATCGATCAGCTACACTACGAGATCCATTGGATGGATGGTGGAGGGGGTGAGGGGCAAGGGGACAGGCCCTTGGATACGCTTGGATTCCAGCTTCCTTCTCCCTGCCCAAGGCAGAAAACTACCCTTCCTCTTTGTTGCCAAAAAAGAAGCAAAATGTTGAAGAAGATGACGAGGGAGGAGGAGGAGGGGAAAAAAGCCTCAGGCGACGGTCTTGAATGACGGTGTGAAGTGGATCCCGGCGATGGCGAATCGGCGTTCAAGATCAATTGAAACTTGCTCTCGCTCGCGCGATGAGATGAGGTGAGGCGGCAATGCACAGCCAAGCATGCGGCACACGTTGCGCTGTGCTTCTTCCTTCCTTTTCTTTTTTTTTTTTTCTGTGCCCTCTTTGGGCTCTTGATTCCCTTTCTTTCTTTCCTTTTCCCTGACGGGATTGTCTATGCGACTGTCCTATACCGAGGCATGCATGCCAACTTCTATCACATGTAGGAAAGGGGAGCGAGAGAGAAAACAGGAAAGGGAACAGGAGAATGAAACGGAAAAAGCAAAAAGAGGTGCGGGCGTGAAGCCCTGTCGGCGTCGGCGAGGGTGGTTGAGAGCCGCGGGTTGGTTCGCGTTTGGTCGTTTCCTCGGGCGCACCCCGGGCAGGAATGGCGGGAAAGAGAGAGGAGAGAACGAGAGCGAGGGCAAGAGAGAGTTGAGAGAGTGCGTGTGTGTATGTGTGTATGTACGTGAGAGTAAGAGAGGAAGGAGACGAGGCAGCTATGCAGGGGCATCATCTGGGCCGATGGCTGGAGACTGGCGGTCAAGAAAACCCTCAGCTCAAGACGAAGAAGAAAAAGAGAAATGGGAAAAGGCTGGGCGGATTGGGCGATGGACGGGGAGGGTGGGCGCCTGTTCTTTCTTTTTCTCTTTCCTCTTCTCCCCTTTCTCTTTTGTCTCCTTCCTTCTTATTTGCATTAATGTTCATTGTTTCGAGCATTTCCTTTTTTAGCCATTCCTGAAGAGGATGCGCTGAGTCGGGGCCACGATCGCCACGCTCGGTCCCAAATCCGGTTTGTCGCAAGACGGGCGACAAATTCCCATCCCTCGTTCAAAGAGAAGAAAGAGAGAGAGGGAACCCCAAGAATTGTCGCTGGTTCAATTTCTCAAGTCGAATTCCTTTTATTTATTTTTTCCTCTTCATTTTGCCCCTCTCTTTACCCTTCTCCCACTAGGATCAAATGAGCTTCCTCAGGGACCAGCTCCGTCCATTTTTGTCTCGTGATTTTTTTTTTTTTTGCCTTTTTCGGGGTTAAGCGTGCCGCCCTCCCACAGGCTAAGGGAAGCGAAGGTTTGGGGGCGAAACCCGCTGTCACGGCTCCGGACCGCTCCCGTGCGACGGCGCCGAAGGGGACTCGGCAACTGGCGGCAGTAATTGATCCGTGTACCCCCAGTGCCACTGCCCTTGGCCTGTTGTTGAAGTGGAGTACGTAATCAATCCAGCACAGGATGAATTATACGATATCTTGTGAAGGAAGCACAGGAAGAGTAAACGCGGAAAATGGATGTATTCTAAACACTCTTCTTTTTATTTTATTTTTTGTAAAATATCGCGTAAATACTTCCTCTTTCTCTTTTAGCCTTTTAGGAGGGGTTTTTTTTTTTTTTTCCCTCTTCGTATGATTTTCTCATGTTCTTCCCGCCAATTCGGTGCCAACCTACGCCCCTTCGATCCAGATGGCTAGTGCTCTGACGCCCAAATTAGCCGGGTTCCTAATATTTCAATGTTCTCGGTCAAAACGGCATCATTGGAATCTGGATATGCCGTCCACTCATGTTCTTCAAAACCAACTCTTTAGACGGAACGAAGGATCCGTTAACCCCTTGAGCAACAGAAGCACACACCCGTAGTAGATGCACCGGCCCGAGACCTGCCCGGTGAGTAAAACGGGACGTGCGACCGCGAGGGACGCACCGCCGTCAGTTCGTCACGCATGCGGCCCGGCGCGTCCCCGTCATTCCACCGGCCTCGTATTCTCAGTTGCTCTTCTCCTGCTCTCGCCGCATCTTTCGAAGAACTTCCCCCAAGTGCGTAGTGGAATCGGTGTCAATAAACACGAATAGCTCCAGTTTGGTGAGAGCCAGGCCATCCATCTTCTTAGTTTTCTACGTATTGTCCTTTTTTCACAGGGCCCTACGTTTATATGAATGCGGCTGTGTCTGTGACTGAATCACAGATATTGGTGTAACGGGGAGGCAGAGGTAGCTCTACGAGGCTTATACAACCCTATGAGCTATATGCATGCAGCTTTTGTACCAGTGATGAATGCATGAATGTTTGTGTCGAGATATATGGGTTTTTTTAATACACGTCAAAGTCTCGTCTCAAAAGACGAGATGGTAGAAAAAGAGAGACGCCTTATTCAAGGAAACCCACTGAAGTAGAGCTGGAAGCGTTATCTGAGGCAAGCCAAGGAGCCTCGGCCACCTACTAACTTCTCCCTTTGCCAAGTGCCCCAGCGGCCCTACAGACCCGAGAGAGTGTCGTTGAGGCTAATGAGGCCTTGCTCGTACATCAACTTAGCAACCGGGTACACGGCGCGCGCAAAATTGCTTCGCCTCTCGAGCACGTAGCGCGGCGTGACTTTGGGGAAAACTTTGCGGTCGCTGACAAACCGGGGCGAGAAGGCGTGGAGCACGTAGGACTGAGACCAGCTCCACGCCCAACTCGGCCGGTCGGGGTCGTCCTTGTCGTCGGCCTTCCAGCGGTCGAGCACCGGCGCCGTCGCGTAGTCCAGGAGCGGGTCGCCCTCGGCAAAGTTGTCGTTCAGATTGGACGGGGCGTCCTCCCGGTTGAGCCAGAGATCCATCTGGTCCTGCTCGTACCAGCTCCCCGGGTTGAAGGCGGGCTGCTCGAGGACGAGCACCTCGTCAGGCACGGTGGCGAGCTGCTCGCTGATGCGGGTGAGCACGTCGTTGCTGTGGATGGTCCAGCCGCCGGTGTACGCGGCGTGCATCCCCTCGACCCAGAGCGAGATGAGCGCGCTGTTTTTCGCCGACATGAAGACGCCGCTGTTGACGCCACCTTCGGCCTGCCGGCCGACCACGGCGCGGAAGCCCGAGCGCCGAAGACTTCCGATGTCGTGGAGGGCGTGCACGTCAAAGTCGATGTAGGTGCCGCCAAAGTCCGCGACGGCCCGGACGCGGACAAAGTCGGACCGGTGCTCCATGGCGCCGATTTCCTTGCCGTTGTGGGCGTGCGTGGGGACCGTGACGTTGTGGATGACGAGCCGGGGGAACGTGAGGATCAGGCGGCTCCATTTTCCGAGGCCCCGCTGGCGGCGCGGGCGAGGGCGTCGGGGTGCGCGTTGGTGTGGAGGTAGATCTTGTCCGGGCCCCAGTAGTGCATGGCCGCGTAGAGGGAGAGGTACTCTTGGAACCGGAACCGGAGGTCTTGCGTCGGCTTCTCGAGCACGTAGACGAAGTGGACTAGGTTCGGAATCTGGCCCCGGTCGCTCGCCCCGGGCGCTGTTGAGAATCCCCTCAGCTTGCTCCCGAAGTGCGGAGGGGAGAAACTAGAGGGGTCGACTGGGTCTGGAAGTATGTGTGGTGGTAGTAGCTGAAGGACAGGAAGATGCAGGTGGATATCGTACAGGCTACCCAAGCGGCCATGACCTTGCCGTAGCGGCGGTTGAACATGGTGAAGATTGGAGGAGGAGATTCTGTTCTTGTTCACTTCCCACCGCCGCCGCCTCCCGTTCCTCTTGCGTTTCCTTGCGCCTTTTACTTGTCGGTCTTTTGTCACGCCGTCTAAACCCAGCTACCTCTTTCTTTTGTCTCTCCTCGGGTTAAAAGGGCAAGGTAAAGTAGGAAATTCGAAAGGGAGAGAATGCAAATATGGAGAGGAAGAGGAAGGGACACGAAGAGAAGAACCGGGGTTTAGGATAGGTGATGGTGGATGGGAAGATGATTGCAGGGCGTTTCTCCCAGGCGAGAGGGACCACGATGGACATGCCATCACGTACACGGAGACTAGGATGATGACAGTACTAGGCGAATAACTCTCAGTAAGGCGATGAATAAAGCAAAGAGGTGGAATCAAACGAGAAAGAGATACAAGACATGGCCAGATCAGTCTCGAGAGCGGGGGCGAACACACTACGGTACCGGGAAATAAGGTAGATCGATGGTGGTGCATATAAGACGCGATTGTACGACGTTTGCGGAGACAGGATGCCATTCTCGATCTTGGTCTAACATGTTAGACCCGAGGATGCATCCATGGTGTCACCTCGTGTAACACTTTACGATGTAGACTCCCGCATCAAGACCCTCCTAAGCTTACCTCTACAATATTCTCTTCGGGAGGATCGGTTGAACATGAACTTTTGTGAAATAGGTCATTCCCCAAGAACCCTTGAATGGTAATCATGCCTTTTGTACCCCCTGGCGCTGGTTGTAAGAGGCCTAAAATAGACCCTAGATGAATGCATCAATATAATGGATCCATGTATGAGCTACAAGCTATGGACCAGATCACTAGAACCGCGAGACAAACAGGATGGGAGAGCGTAGACGGAGTAGTAACAACGAGGCTCAGTCTGGGGCTCTCGCGGCCATTGCCTCGGGAGCCCACGAGAGGACACTCCTCCTCCCTTCTTTCGAGGACCGTCATTGCCCGCCTTGTTCTACACTCGTTGGCCTTGCTACGGGTCGTATGTGCTCGCGTCACAGACTCTTCTCTTCTGTTCTTCTTTTTTCCTTTTCTTTTGAGACAGATCCCTATTTCGCGCGAGACAAGAGGGTGAAATTTGCTGCAAGTCGGCAAACGACCGAGCGTGTCTCAGTCGTGGAACCCCAAAGCTTCTCACACACTCATAGGGCTTAGCTACGGAACGCTTTTATATGGGGAGATAAGTCAAATAGCTCCTAGGCTCCCACAGTACCAATAGATGATGGCTTTCAGGGGAGATCGGCTCGGGCGCGAGGCTACACAACTTTCTTACATGCCAGGTCTTACTGTCTCAAATCGCACAGGAACAAGACAGATGACCCCTTCTGGACCTAATATATTGAGAAGGAAAAAAAGGTTTCTTGATCTTCTGATATGTTCCTATACAATTTTGATTAGAATGATTCTTCTTCTCGTGCTTCTTTTCCATTTTCTTCCGTTTTGCTTCATGTAACACCAATGAGCACTGCGCTCGTAAGCGTAAGAGATCCATGATACTATCACTCGATGCGCTGAATTACCCTAGTTTTTCCGTAGAGAGCGACATCACTGATGAGTTGATTGTCCGACAAAGACCCAAGCTTATTGATCCTTTGCTCCTTCTGTTCCTCTCCAGCTCTTAACCCTTGAGGTTCCTTGACTGTTCCTTCAAATGGGGTTCCAATTGCCCAAGCAATCCCCACGACCGAGGCAAGAGCAGGTGGGGGCCAGACAATGCCATCAATTATTACTACTATGGATGGATCAATCGTCCATGGCGTGGCAAGCCGATCAGTTCTATCATTGATCTCGGTGGGTTTCGTTCCCTTGAAAACGATACTTCACCAGGCAATTGAACATTTGCACCAAAGTTGGGTTAGAATATCGAACTGACTTCCGCCAGTGCTTTGGATGGGTCTCTCGGTGTCCATCAAACTAACTACCTTTTCATCAGGCGCTGGTTAAATCTCCCCTAATGAATTGACATTGCAGAAGTCCCCCGCTATTCCGTAACCCACGCGCCTGCATCCCCACATTTCCCTAGCAGCCTCTGGTGCATGTGCCTTCGAACGTAATCAATAATATCTCGTCGCAAGGGTTGAATTGTATCACCAGCAAGTTATTCTGTGCTCCTTGGTCCCCGCCCCTTCTTCCCCGGCTCGGCGACGCAGGCTGTAGCGTCCCGTCCAGGCAGTATGTTGCGCTCACTCTGGCTCGGCTCTCCCCATCTACCAAAAGCAGCGTCCCGGACGCCGCGGTACCGGAGCCTCCCATTCAGCTCCAGGACTGCTGCTCGGCCGTTGTCGTCGTCGTCATCTTCGCCAGGTGGCCTAGCCCCGACTGCGTTGGAGGTTCCAATCACTGCGCCCAACGGCCGTGAGTGGAAACAGCCCGTTGGCCTATTCATTAACAATGACTTTGTAGCGAGTAGCGGCGGCCAGAAAATCCCATCTATAAATCCTACGTAGGTCGTTGTCGCCTTCACCCCGCGGCCCACGCCCGGGCGCCCGGGCCCCATAATCGTCCCCATCTTCCCCCTTGTCTTTTCTCTCTCCAGGATATACCTAGAGCCCCCAGGCTAATACCCCATCCAGAACAGAGCAAGAAATTTGCTCCGTCTGCTCGGCAAACTCTCAAGACGTCCACAAAGCCGTCTCTTCAGCCCGAGAAGCCCTCAAGGCCCCGTCCTGGAGCCGGCTCTCCGGGAGTGATCGCGGCGCCCTCCTCTACAGGTTAGCGGACCTTGTCGAGAAGAACGCCGAGACCATCGCCACCATCGAGTCCCTCGATAGCGGCAAGCCCTACTCCGCCTCCCTGGGGACCGACGTGCCGCTTTTCCTCCAGGTCATGCGCTACTATGCCGGCTTCGCCGACAAGAACTTTGGCCGCGTCATCGATGTCGGCCCGGACAAGATGGCCTACACCGTCCACGAGCCCATCGGCGTCTGCGGGCAGATCGTGCCGTGGAACTACCCGCTCGCCATGGCTGGGTGGAAGCTCGCACCCGCGCTGGCTTGCGGTAACACTACGGTGTTGAAACCGTCAGAGCTGACGCCGCTGTCGGTCCTTTTCGTCGCCAACTTGGTCCGCGAGGCCGGTTTCCCACCCGGCGTTGTCAACATCCTCAATGGCTACGGCCGTGACACAGGTGCCGCTCTGGTCAACCATCCGGGAGTCGACAAGATCGCCTTCACTGGCAGCACGGCTACGGGCAAAGAGATTATGCGCCTGGCTTCCAAGACGTTGAAAAACATCACGCTCGAGACGGGTGGAAAGTCGCCTCTCATTGTGTTTGAGGACGCTAATGTCGCCCAGGCCGCGAAGCACGCCCACCTCGGCATCATGTCGAACTCGGGCCAGATCTGCACCGCCAACTCGAGGCTCCTGGTGCATGAGACCCTTGTTGATGAATTTGTCAACGCGTTCGCTAGCCTCGTAAAAACGTTTCTGTGATTGGCGACCCCTTCGAGACGGCCACGTTTCAGGGTCCCCAGGTCTCGCGGGACCAGTACGACCGCATCCTAAACTACGTCCAGCTCGGCGTCGACGAAGGCGCCAGGCTCGTGTTGGGCGGCCGACCCGCCACGGTGCCCTCTGGAAAAGGCTACTATATCGAGCCCACACTCTTCGCCGACGTCAAGCCAAACATGAAAATCTTCCAAGAGGAAATCTTTGGGCCCTGTGCCGTCATCGTGCCCTTTTCCACAGACGAAGAGGCGGTAGCTCTGGCCAACGATTCCGCCTACGGACTCGGAGCCATGCTCTTCACCAAAGATCTTTCGCGGGCACATAGAATGGCTCGGGCGGTCGAAGCTGGCATGGTATTCATCAACAGCACAGATGACTCCGACGCCAGAACCCCTTTGGCGGCGTGAAGCAGTCTGGTATCGGGCGGGAGCTTGGGGAGGCTGGATTAACAGCGTATTGTAACATCAAAACAGTCCATGTAAACCTGACGAATGAATAAAGAGGCCTGTGTTTTCATCATAGTTCCCCCTTTCCTGGCCTCTCGTTGTCTGCCTGCCTGCATGATATATGCGAGGTGAATAGCGCTACACGAATACTCAAATACCCCCGTTGACTCTTGTCCAAAACAATGAAAGAAAAAAAGAAAAAAGGTAGATCCAGGATCCTAGCGTCCGATCATCCACTGCTCTCATGAGTGAACTGGATTTGCAATGCAAGTAGATCAAACTGCGGCACGAGCTTGTTCGTGGAGATGTGGAGTTGGACCCTTGGGAGAAGAGCTAAGCAGCTGTGATCAGCTGTCAGACATACCACCCGCCATTTCAGCCAATCACAGACCACAATCCGGGGAAGCTTGCCTGGCTGCAGGTTGCAAGCTCCTGCAGATTTTTGGGAAAAGGTGCCAGTCTGGCTTGATGATTTCTATTCGTCATATGACGACGAGGCCGCCCAACCTCACTAACCTCGTTTTGCTCTCGCTGCCATCAGACGACGTCACACATTTCCCTCTCTGCCCCCGCCAGTGACCTATCTTCAAGCCACTATTTCCAATATCTATCTGCCTGGTTCTTTAATTTCATCTCTCTAGCTTGGCACACTTATATTGAAATGCGCATCTCGAACATATAACCCTACCAAGTGCGAACCGAGCCCACGGCAACGAAATCAAGAGCTCTTCTTTGAAATATATTCCTCAATCATCAATCTTGACCTCGAAAACAGGGCACTGCACCCTCCCTCTTTTCCTTCGTCCCGACAGCGTCCGGCACCATGGCGCCCCGCGACTTTCCCAGCGCAAAGCTGACGCTTTCCTACCCCCTCTACGCTTGCGATTTCGACCCTCAAGATCCCACGAGGTTGGTCGTAGGTGGTGGAGGTGGTCCTGGCCGGAGCGGAGTTGGCAACAAAATTGTACGTTAAAAAAACCCCCGAGATATTGGCCCTTCCTATCCTTTTACTGCGGCATGGGTTGCCCCCAGCTAGTATCCCCTCGAAGAAGAGCGGGCTTGGAAACACGCTTGCAGGCCGATCTGGCTAACCTCTCCGTACCCCGGCATTCTTATAGACCGTCATCGACGCCAACGACCAGTCCGAACTCGCCGTCACCGGCGAGGCTGACCTCAGCCGTGATGAAGATTCCGTATCGTGCCTGGCCGTCGGGCCCCGCAAAGGCAAATCCGTCCTCGTCTACGCCGGTATCAACTCGAGCCCTGCCGAGATCCAAAGGGCAAGAACGAGCATCTCCGGACCTTTGCCGTAGAAAGCACAAAAACCCGCACCGCCGGCTCCGCGGTCCCCTCCACCAACGTCGCCGAGGTCTCCAGGGTCGGGCTCTTCTCAGCCACGCACCCCGAGGAGTACCAGCGCGTCGTCCGCTTGGGCGCGCCCTCGTCCTCCGGCGTCCAGCTCGGCGCCGCCGCGTCGGGCCTGGGAAAGGAATTCGAGATTGCCCTCTTCGAAGTCTCGCCGAGCGGGTCAGCGGTGCCAAAGAGCAAGGGCAAGCTCGAGCTTACCAGGCAGGCTGACGACATTGACGTCATCCAGACGGGCGAGGATACCTACCAGGTTGCCTACTGCCACGAGTATGATATCTACACCGTGGATGTGGTCAAGGGTGTGGGTGCCGACCCTAGGCTTGTATTCACGACGCCCCACAACCATGGTACCGGCGCTCCGCGCCCGCAGTTCCGCTCCATCAGGTACCTTACTTCCGACTTCATCCTGGCCGCCGCAAATATGCCCAAGAGGACGGGCGTGGTTCTCCAGGGCATCAGGCTGCCCACCAAGGTTGGCGATAACGGGCGAGTAGCTATCACGACAAAGCTACCGAAGAGCGTGGCCCAGGCCACTGCCCTCGCCGTTCGGAATCTCACGCCGCCCACCACCCCAGGCGCACAAGTCGGCAACGTTCAGTTCCTGATTGCCGTCGCCGGCCACGATTCGTCTATATCGCTGTACACTCTCGAGCACAAGTTCATCGAAACCATCTCGGTCCTTGTCGACCTCTTCCCCCTCCAGACTCTCAAGGAGACGCACCCCCTCCAGGTTACCGGCCTCGCCTTCTCGACGTATGCGGCCCTCAAGTCAGGCACCACCCGGCCGCAGGTGGTCAAGCTCGCTAGCATCTCTATGGCGAACACCGTCGTCGTCCACGCCATCCCCTCAAGAAATTCATTGACAAGTCCACTCCCGTTCGCCGCAATGGCCCTCGTCGCCCCACCCGTTACGTTGTAGCCGCCAAGTCTACGAACCCGGCGAACAGGGCCGTCCTCATCTCCTTGTCCATCGTTATCCTGATTCTGGCCGTCATCGCCCAGGGCGTGCTCGAGCTCGGGGGCTCGAGCCCCTATCCTTGGCACCGCCAAGTACTTCAACCCCTATGGAACCCTCCGTGCCCCCACGACGACTTCATCAACAGGGTCTTGGGCGGACTTCCACGCGCCACCCAGCAGCTCGTCCTCCGCGAGGAAACTGTCCTGACGGGCGACAAGGCGGAGGATCCCCCAGATCCAGGTCGGTGTCGACTACGACGCCTCCGAGGGCGAGGCGCTCTCGTGGGAGCAGCTCACGACGAAGCAGAAGAAGCTGTGGAAGGAGAAGCTCAGGCAGCAGGGCTACTGGGCCGAGAAGATGGGCGAGGATGTTTTCAAGGGCGTCTTGTTTGGCCAGATTGCCGGTGCTGTCGGCCAGGCTCTCGGCGGCTAGGGCGGGTCAGCTGTGGTGGTGGTTTGGTGTGGTTCCTCAAATGTGTATTATGGCGGTTCTCTTCATGTCCTCCCCTCAACATTCCGTGTCGTTTATCTAGGCGTCTCGGGCATGGCCTTTTCAACGTTGTTTTTTTCATCATCCTCCTCTTTCCCCTTCTCTCTTCCTTGAATTGCACTGTACCTTGATTACCTCTCCCTTCTCCTTTGCTTTCCGTCTTCTAGCCAACGTCTGTCTAGCCCTCGTTGTTCAAGGCAGCACAGATCCCGTGAAGGGATCATGGGAAAAAAGGGGTGAAAATGAGGACCACTCTAGAAAGCATGGATCAATTAATCGAATCAAATGGCGTGGAGTGCCCCCGATCATGGGAGTCTCGGGCGGGGGCACAGGGGCGGTGGCATGGATCTATGTGTATTTGATAAAACTTGGTTTGGAGGCCAACCAAAACCCACTTTGATGTAGTTCCTAGTCTTTCCCTTCTTGATGGATATGATACAACTTGGCACACTATATATATAACGTTAATGGTCACCCACGTTGCCCCCTTTCAATATCTCCCCCTCCTTGCAGCCAACTATTGTAGCCGCAAAGAAGCTGCTCTGATGGTTTGACGACCCCGAGCACCAAAAGAACAGGATATCAAGAGAACAGTGCTAAATAAAAGCTTGAAGTCGACGCGATTCGGTAAAGTCCCGGCATCGTCGCTAGAAATACGTGTTCAGAGGAGGATGATGATACATCCAACATCTGTTGCAAGCAGTACCGAGTACATGTTTAGCCATGGGTGAAACATGTGTGGATCACGTCCGGTTTGACAAACGGGAGAAAAAGCAAGCTCTTTTGTTCATCGATCTATCAAGTCGCGAAAAACGGCAAAGGTTGAGATGTAACCCAGTACAATAGATACACATGGACGCGAGAAAGGCGGGAAAAAAAGAAAATGTGCAAAAGAAAAAAGCCCCCAAAAGTATTTAGTAGAATCAATGTGATCAAGAAGACATCCATGAAATGAGAAGGAAAAAAAAACTCCGCAGCACCCTCCAGCCCCCCAGACTTGCCCACAGCTTCATGAGAGATTATACAAACAGGGTGGTTGGTTGGTTGCATCCATTACAACATCCGTAGATCTATCGGATAACAGCCACACCTGGAAAAAGAAAAAGTCGAGGGACTTCAATTGCGAAAGACGCATACCGGTTGTTTTTTGGCTGGCGTCCCTTCTTATGTGTTCGCGTGTGTAACTGTCTAGCAACGTGGTAGGTGGCCTTCCCACCGCGGTGCGACACACGTCCGACTGCGAAATGCCGTTTCGTTTCGGAAAAGACCCAGGCAAATCGCTTAGTTGTCCCATATCCAGTATGTAAAAGACGGAGGAGCTGGATGGGCCAGGCTGATGGTGGGGTTGGGGCAAAGTAGTTGGGTCCCCAAAGCAAACCATGGTCCCACCTCTTTACTCTTTTCCATCCCTTGACTAGGAACGGCATGTTTAAAAGGCGGTTAGGCCAGGAGGAAGGACGGGGTACTCCACGCCGTTGATCACCTCGGTGCCGTAGGGGTAACTTGCCTCACCGGACTCGTCCCTCTTCCACGTGTTCTTGCAGTCGCCGGGGACGAACTTGGCAGCGTCCATGGCCAAGGTCATCTTGACCTCGGGGCAATATTTCCAGATGTGCTCCCTGGACTTGGGGTCACCCCAGATGTGCTTGTGGAGGTAGGAGCCGGAGCCTCCAGTGTGATAGCCCAAAGGCTCATAGAAGCCCTCACGCCACCCATCAATGTCGGTGATGTACTCACCAGCCTCGGCGGCCTTCAGGACGGATCCGTACTTTTGAATAGCCTCGGCTTCGTCGATGTGTACCTTCTCTCCGGTATACTGCTCGCCGGAGAACTTGAGAGAAACGGAGCCGTTGGCAACCATGGCGCCAGGGTGGTGGGAAACACGCTCGGCAAGCCAGACGTCCTCGGGATCGGAGTCTTCGACGCGTACCTGGTTCTTGAGGACGTCGATCATGGTGCTCACGCGGCGGAGGGAGAGACCGCCGTTGCCGCCCCAGGTGCTGCTGGGGTGCCAAGGGGCGCCAATCCAGTCGTATTCGAGGAAGTCGTTGATGGTGTACCTGGAATTGGCGCAAATGATGCTGTCGGTCTGGAAGACGAGGAGCCACTCGGCGGGTTGGAGGAGCGTCTCGTAGAGCCAAAGGTTGGTCAGAAAGCGGGAGATCATCTCCTGGCCACTGGTACTCATGTTGGCGGGGATATAGCTCAAGTCAAGCTTGCCCGCCTTGACCTGTTCTCGAATGGCCATCGACCTATTTATGTGTTCAACCGACTCGACGGAGCCCATGAAGCGGAACTTCCAATCAGGTGGGACTACGGCCATGAAGTGAAGCATCAGAGGGGCTAGGATGGGGTTGGGTCGGTTCTCAATCAAAAGGGCGACCTTGGATTCATTGAATGGTGAGTGAGGGTAGTGGATCGATATCCTCGGCGCAGATGCGCTTTGCGAGGTGAGCGTGGTCACTAATAATCTGTCCGAGGAGAATTTCAAAGTTAGCCCAGCAACTCTATCTTGCGTCGCTCACTAATGTTGAGCTGTGAATCGGGGAATGCGGTCACGACTAACAGGACGGAAACGAAGCCTCCAACCACGCGCATCCGCCTGCTCGTGCGGTTCCATAGTGCCTGAGGGAGCGCGGCAAGCTTAGGCAGGAGCCTCTGGAAGGTTGAGGACGAATTAGACCCGAGAAGGGCGGCGGAAGACTCTGACGACATGGTGGGCGGATGGAAAGTCGTCGGTTGTTGGCGAGGAATGTGAGGCTGCCTCCGCCAGTACGACTGGCAAAGATATCAGCTGTTCTCGGGGATGCTCGCAAAGGAACTCGGTGGATCAGGGAAAGGCTCGACCCAAGTAGAGAACAAGATGAACAACAGGAAATCCGATCCTAGAAAATAAGGAAAGGGAAAAGAAGGCCGTAAGCGAAGCGTTAGAAGATGGGCACAGTGGCAAATGGCCTCGTCTTTCTTGGCTGGCAAGAATAATTAGGTGGAGAAAATGGACGCCCTGCTGCGAAAAGGTTGGAATAATGACTGCTCGCCCTCGAGGCCAGGAGAGAGGATTGTGGTTGGCACAAAAAGGCGAAGAAAGGTTCGAGGAAGTCCCAGTCGAATGTCGATGGGGCTCCTAGCAGGAAACGGCAGGCATTTCGGGGGTGGCGGTGATAGGGGAGGGAGGAAACGTTGGCTGATCGAAGAAAACGGATACCCTCTTTCCTTTTTCGTCAGACAGGCTAATGCAAGTACCTCGGAACACAGATGTACGAAGTACACTATTGCCTCAGATGGTGACGAAGTGGCCCACGGGCACAAAGCAGGTGAAATTGTGAAGATCAGATTGGCCCAGAGTGGAGATTTGGTTCAGGGAGGCAATTGGCGAGCCGCCGTTTGTGGACTTGTCCCTCGATGCACCTGTGGAGCGTGCGTTGCGCCTCCCTTCCAACGCGTTCCCGAACTCCCTCGCGCCCCTATTCTTCGAAAAATTGATGCGCAAGTGGATCAAAGGGACGGGCTATCGATCCCTGTCGCTGATCCTTATCGATGGGGGACGGGCATTAGAAGTGGAAATGACGCCTTTGAAAAGTATTGGCCAGTTCCAGGCTTTGAAGTGAAACACCTTCTCCCCCACACCTTGGGCTGTCCCTTCGAGCTGACAAGTGAAAAGACAACTGAGAAAAGGTTGATTCTGCTCAAGACGGTGCGTTGCTGCGAATCAGAAACCGATATCAATCCAATGTCTTGGACTCGGAACACTTCGTCGCGTCAGAAATGCGATAGGGATCGGTACGGTTCAGCGACGTGGGCAGTGCAAACTGAATTGAACAGGCGCTTGAACGCATTCGAACGCATTCAGCGGTCTGCCGCTTTGTTCCTGGCATGTCCATCTTTAATTTGACATGCTGGCACTAATAATCGGCGTGCATCAAAAGCCAGTACTGACCCTAGGAGAGCACATCAATAGATCAATTCCTTCTCGGCCCCGTCATCTCCTGCGCTCGATTAGCAAAGTGAATCCCTTTTTCACTCTTCAAATTCTGCCCCGTTTGTCGTACTATTCTGGCATTAAAGACGAGGTATGTGCTAATACTTCGTACTTGGCGGCCAACTCAACCTGGCATGAGCCTTCTTCTGGCCTCGGCTCTCTACTTTTTTCTTCTTTTTTTTTTTTTTTTTTTTCCCTTTCTTTTTCTGTCCTCTTTTGTTTCCCTTCTTTTTGACCCCCAGTCTCCAGCCCTCCACGCGAGTTGGGCGGGCCATTCATGGTTACACTGTATTAAAGGATGGATTTCGTATTGAGAGCCCACGAGCGACATGGATGTTGCGCACCAGCGCTTGGGTGGCACAAATTTTGGTGGTAGCTATGTCGTATCCCTCGTCCGTACAATGTAATGTAACCAAGTGTTCAAGAACTCGGGTCCATTGAGACAGCAGATGCTGTTCCAGGTACGAAGGGAGAATGTTTCCGTGAAATCTCATGAATTTTTGAGAGTTCTTCACGAGATGACTATTCCCAGGTCGGTTTTCTTGTCATATCACCTCTTTAATCCCTCGGTACTCTTATGTTTCTTCTAGTAGGGGTTTCTTTTTCTTTCCTTTTTTCCTCCTTTTTTTTTCTTTTTCTTTTCCTTTTTCTTTTTTTCGTTTCTCTCCTACCCCTGGCTAATGGCTAGCTCACGATCTCTGCTTGATAGGGCGGCAGGGGTCAGGGCTGTCGGTACAGACTTGACGGGTCTGTCCCGAAAGGGATGAAGTTGATACAGATTGGGACACATCTCAAGTCTCTTTCTGCCACGAGCGGAATAATGGCTGGCCCTTCTTCCACTCTGCACATCACCTCGTCTCTTCGTGCTGTCGCACTTTGTGGTATCGAGGGTGGTAATTTAGGGAGAAGGAAACATGAGGAAGGAGCACTGGAAAGCCAGGAGGCGAAGGGAAAAGTGGGGGAAGGTGCGAGAGTGTCAGCGAAACAGAATCCAGGGCCAATTTGACTCTCCGTCAGGACAAGATCCAATCCCCATCAACCCTCACTTCCCTAATTCTAGGTTGGTCATTGTAATTGATCAACACCGCAGCCAGGAGCCTTCTTTTCTCCTTCATGAGGAACACAAGAACCGTTGCCGAGAAGTTGGGGGATCAATTTATTGATCAGTCCCGGGTGCCGGGACGAGGCTTAGGCCCTTACCCAGAACCTGGTTCGCCCACCCACGATAGCTCGGTAAGGATGGCTCTATTCGAAACAACCCACGCCGAAACCGTACAAATTCAGAATTTCAACAGCAAGACCATTATAGCCAACGGGCGGGGAGGGCGGGGAGGGGCGGGAAGAGGTGCAAATCTCACTCTGCATGGCCCTCAACCTTCTTCCTCCATGTTCATCATATTATATACACTAAAGAATTTTTCAATAAACTTCCCTTCTTGCTGGTGGGTTTGCTGGTTTCGACTGAGGTAGCGTCGCCGACCATTCTTCGAGAACGCTGTCCATCGTGCTAGTGCAACTCAAGGGCCCAGTAGTCTTTTCAGCCCCAACCGGGGAATGGCAATGGCAAGGTGGCAATCAACCAACTACACTACGAAGTACCAGTCGTCTGTCGACCGAACTCGGATGTCCCCTCTCCGCGGGGTAATCCCTGTAAACCCTCGTATCGTGGTCACTTTGCAAGCGGGAGGGCCAGGATGGCACAGGATGCAAGATGATGATAGCGGAATGCTAATTTTACTCTGGAAAGCAGATTCTTTCGAGCGTCAATAGTTCACGCGACCAGCGATACCAAATATTTGGTGCGTCAGTCTAATATTACCTGGAACTGAGTATCGATTAGAGGTACCGAGGTATACGCCAAAGAGCTCTCAAGGGACGGAGAGATCAATCGAGACAACCAAGCATTCTCGATTTATTATGAAGAAGAGAGAAGCCTTTTCGGGTCCAAACAGTCGCAAGCAGACTATTGACCCCGCCTTCATCAGCAAACACGCGTCCATCTGGTACCACACGCATCCACATGAGTAACCGCGACAGCGGGTGGACCATCAATGGATGCACATGGGTCTCAAGAAGCGGGTGTCGTTGATGGTGCACGACCAAGTGAGAGGGAAAAGACCATCAGCGCCCAACGAAACTACTTGTGATCTGGCCAGCTGCTCCTCTCTTTTTCCTCCCATCCTTCCAAGGAGCATCAGACCACTGGACGGGTGTAGCAGCTGCGCTTGAGGAAGAGACACGAATGTACACTACATGGATCGATTGATGGATGCGTTGAAGACGGTGTCGGGATAATCCATCAATCCGACTGATGCGTTGGAGGCGCAGGAGCGCAACAAATGGCATTGCATTTTCCCTCCCTTGAATGCTTGAAGGCTGGGCAGCACCCGAATCCTTCCTTTGCTTGGGGAGAGTTCGATTGGGTGGTTTCGCTCCCACGAACTTCACGGACAAATTGGCTGCTAAGAGTGAGCAGTCGTGTCACATTCGCTCCTCTTTCCCTCTGTCCCTTCAATGTTCAGTTTGCGAGCCCAGCCTGTGCTCTGTTGGTTGCAGCCCGGAAGGCAAGGCGTTCTTCCTCTTCGGTGTGCCAGTCCCCATCCATGCAGCTTCAGGATCAATTGACCCAACCTGGGACCTGGGAAAGGAAAAGTCCAAGAATACGAGACACTAATCAGATTTCGAGTTGAACCAAACCTCGATTGCCAGCGAGAATTAAACGGTACAGCCAACCACCGTCAATGGTACCGATTCTCTTCTCCGTATTTTACGTGCCCCACTAGTCCCCACCACCCCTGAAACCCCTTTTCCAAAATGGACTGCACTGGTGGCCACGCCCAGCCGAATCCACAGTTTTTTTCATTCCCGTGTTCGCCATCCCACTCGCTGCTTCTCGCATCTGATTGACGCAAGCGTTTCCTTTTCGCCCATTCCCCTTGAACGCCTACGATTTCTCCCTACCGCCGGTCTCCTTTTTCGAGACTAGTTGTCGCGTTGGAAGCTCTCCTCCCTAAATCGTGTGATCCCACATCCACCGTCCCATTTCTTCTCCCACCAACCTCACACTTCCGCCCCTTTCCCAAGCGACTTTGTGTGTTGTGTCATGCACACGGAGCCAAGCCTGGCCGACTCGGGCTGTTAGAGACGCTTCTTCCTCTTCATCATCGCCACTTGGATTTCCCCCAACCCCAACATCCTCAACGCCGTATCTTTTCTCACCGGGCCGATTCTTCGGTTGCAGGTCCTTCTCTATCCTCTTCTTTTATTTTGCCTGTAGCCTTTGTTTTCCCTGATCTATAGTAACGGCCAAAGGTCTTTTGCCTTCGCCATGGCTGTCATAACCTCGGCGCTGCGCCCACAACTTATGGGGGCGTCGCAACACATCACCAGAGTTCACATCCTGGTAGTATTTTCTCTAATCTTCACGTATGCCAACCCCAAGCCATACGCCTACGTCTACTGGAGGTGCCATTTCTTGATTTTCTAACAGCGGCTCAACACAGATGGTTCATCGCCGGCATACTGCCACATTACACTCCCAATATACAGTCACAACTCGCCAATGCGAGGCAAAAGATTCCCCAGCTCAAGGTCGACTGGAAAGTCGAGCAGGATCCCCGCGCAAAATGGAGCAGCCAAAAGGTTGCCCTGCTCATCGAGCCCCGGCCGCTTCCCCACCTCGTCCCCCAAATCCTCCACATGATGGCCGTCGTGCCCCGGACTGGAGGTTCCTCTTCATCGGCTCTGAACTGAGCGTCATAAGCGTTGGCCGTGCCCATTCCATCAAGCACCAACAGATTGCCGGCAAGCTGGACCTCATGGTTCTCCCCGCCCCCTGGAGCATTGCAAGCAAGGAACACGTCTACCGCACCCTGACGGACCCTCGCTTCTACGACGAGTTCTTGCCAGGAATCGAGTGGATCTTGAAGTACGAAGCCGACAGCATCATGTGCGCCAACTCGGGCGAGAGCTTGAACGAATGGCTTGACTGGAGCTGGGCCGGTGCGCCAAGGTAAGCAGCTATTACCCACTAGGGAGATGGAGCGCGTCTTGCCAGCATGTTTTGGAAGTTGAAGATTCAACACCAGCATGTCGGTTTATCATGGTCAGCGGTAAATGGGCTAATCATTTTCTTTTGGTGTGGTTTTATAGGAGCCCCGACGACCGGTTCTCAGGCAATGGAGGCCTCTCGCTCCGTCGCGTCAGTGCCATCCAACAGGTACTAGGCTTTCAACAACGGTTCAACGATAGCGGCCCAGAGGATGAATGGTTCGGCAAGCGACTCTGGGTTCTTCCCAACCACAAGGTTGCTTCGGGGTCTGACGGTCGCCTTGCTGTAGAGGACGTCTACTTTGAGAATGCCATGGGCTACCACGTTCGCGAGGGTAAAGATACAAGGGATGAGGTTTGGAAGAGCTACGACCAACGCAAGAAGATCTTTGAATATTGCCCTGAACTGAGCATGATCATGGACATGAAGCTCGAGCGAGAGCGCTGCGACTGGGATACTAAGCAGACTCCACCCGAGGGCAAATCCGTTGACGAATGGGTAAGTTTGTATCTCTCTGTCTCTCCGTCTTGTTACTCTGACAGTACCGCGCACCCACTAACACGTTGGAATTACAGCAAGCGGAAATGAGGAAGAAGATGGAAGAGGAAGAAAAGAGAGCGGCCGACGCAAAGGTCGACGAGGAGAAGAAGAAGAATGCCGCATTGGCGGAAAAGGCGCAGCATGACGCGGAAGCAAAGAACAAGCTCGATGGGGGCGCGGAAAGCAGCGAGGAAGACCTCAAGAAGCTCGAGGAGGAGAAGAAGAAGCTCCAAGAGGCACTGCGGAAAATGAAGAATGGCGGAGACGACGGCGCCGAAAAGCCCAAGGAAACTCCGGCCGACGACCAATCCGCCAAAGATGAACCACCCCAGCCGAAGCCTGTCGCGGAAGCGCCTGCCAAAGAGAAGCCTGCCGAGGCCCCGGCCAGCTAAACGCGCCACGCACGATCCAAATCATTAACAGGCCTGTTTTTCCTCTCAGCTCTGCTTGGCGAGACTTGTTCCCCACATCTCGCGTAAGCATGAGCGTGTAATGCGCCTCTGCTACCCGCAGAAGCTTTCGCCAGAGCCTGATCAAGCCCGAAACCCGGCAATCTTTTGACCTTTTTTTTTTCACCACTTCTACATGTTTTACACTTTTTTTTTCTTGTTTTTCAGATGAATCAAGGGCTCGGATGAATATCTGGATCGAGCCCCTGGGTCGGCGTTTTTCAAGATGTGTGTACGTGGGTGAATCAGTTTTCTTTTTTTTTTTTCCAACGAGGAGTTGGTCTCTACTTGATCCTTGGTGGGGTTTTCACTTGAGGGCGGGGAGGAGGGTTCTCGTTGAATGCATGTTGACCGTGAGGGGATATGTACCAAAGATTACTTCCACTTCTTGTATTATAGCGGCATCTAGTTCCAGATAAAACGGATTCGACTACTTTTTTTTTTTCAAACCCTTGCTGTGTCATGCTTGGGCTCTTCCGTGCCGTTCCCAACGCTACCCACTATCCGAAGCGAGGAGTGAAATTCATAAGGCGCATAAAAGGTTGACAGCATCTTGGTAACAGGCTTTGATAGAGAACTCCTACAGGCTTCAAGTAGGGACGGGCGGCATGTAGAAAAACAAAAGGGCTTCATAGAACCACTCTAATCTACGACAATGACATTCTCCTCGAGGTCGCTATAGGACTCGTAAAAGGACCTGAAGAGGTCGACGGCGTGCTTTACATCATAGGTACCGCCCGTCTCGCGGATGCTGTGCATGCTGAGCTGAGGGTTACCGAGGTCCAGCGTGCGGACACCCATCTTGGCGCTGAGCATGGGGCCAATAGTGGAGCCGCAGGGCGAGTCGTTGCGGACGACAAAGAGTTGGAGAGGCACTTCAGCGCGGCGAGCGCATTCCTGAACGAGAGCGATGCCGGGCGAGTTGGTGGCGTAGCGCTGGTTGGCGTTGACCTTGATCACGGTCCCCTTGTTCATGAGGGGGCGATGGTCCGACTCGTACTTGCCGGCGTAGTTGGGGTGGACGGAGTGGGCCATATCGGCGGAGATGAGGAAGGACCGCGCAAGAGTCTGCTCGAAAGCGGCGGCGGTGTCGGACTCGGGCTCCAGGGGGTCCGAGTCGGACTCGGAGGCAAAGGCCTGGGTCACGCCCTTGACGGCGGCGAGGCGGCGAAGGACGGAGGGGAGGAAACTGGAGTTGGCGCCCTGGGCAGACGTGGAGCCAATCTCCTCGTGGTCAAAGCAGGCGGCGAGGCGGATGCTGTGATCCTCCTTGAGAGAGGCGTCGCTCGCGGACTCGAGGAGGGCGACAATGGTGCAGTACGTCATGTTGAGGTTGTCGAGGCGGGCAGAGAAGATGAATTCGTCGTTGAGGCCGCCAAGGCACGAGGCTTGGGTGTCGAAAAGCAGCATCTCGAAATCGACAATCTCGGAGGGGAGACGCCGGCCTTTTCGGCGATCAGATCGACGATGTGGGGGTGGTGGCGCTCGGCGACGGCGGCCAAGGGCGCAAAGAGCTTCTCTTCCTCCGCAGGGGTGGAGCTCTCCGTGTCGGCCTTGTTCAGCTCGGCCTCGACGAGGCCGGCTATGGGGAAGAGCTCAGTCTCCTTGTTTGGGTCGAAGTTGGCGGAACGGTCGAGGTGGATGGCCAGGGTGGGGATGCGGAGCACGGGCTTATCGATTTTGACGAGACGGGGCACGATTTCTCCAGAAGGGGTCTTGACGAGCACGCGTCCGGCAACTCCAAGGTCGCGATCAAACCAGCTGTGCCAGATGCCGCCGCCGTAGGTCTCGACACCGACCTGCATGAAGCCGTTATTGGTCTTCTTGCTCACGGGCTTGAACCGCAGACAGGGGAATCGGTATGGGCGCCGACCATGGCGATGGGGCTGCCGGGGCGCCACTTGCTGCCGACGGCGAAGGCAATAATGGACGAGGCATTGCGGGTTATGAAGTACTTGCCGCCGGGCTTGATCTCGGATACCCAGGGTCCTTTTCGCGGATATGGGTGAAGCCGGCCTTTTGGAGTCGGGAGACGGCGGAGGCGACGGCATGATAAGCTATCAGGCGACAGTCGCGGGGTCAGTATTTTGTGAAGCGGGTAAACGGATGCACACAAGTCATAACACAATAATCAATATCATAGGAATAGACCACTGGAGATGGAGATGGGGATGTTGGTGGGATGTGTTTTTGGGGGTTTCTTGGGGGCTTCTTGGGGGCAAGCTAAGCTGTCGTCGATCGACACAGCCAGCTCGAAGGAGGGGAGGCATACGTGTGGGGGAGTCGTTGACAAAGCGGACAAAGTCCTTGGCAACCTCGAGGCCGGACATGTTAGAGACAGAGGTAGCGGAGGCGGCGGCAACGTTGGTGGGAGCTGTTGCGACGAAGCGAGTCTGTGCAAGCGTCCGTTGGGGCAAGGAAGAAGCTACCGGGCGATAGACCATCAGGAGGATTGATGATCTCTGGAGCATCTAGAATGGAGGGGAGGGGTTGGCCAGTGTGGGAGATACAAAAAACAACAAAGGTTACGGAGGGGTGATGTGGCTTGCTGGCGGTGCGGGATGTTTTCCTGCTTGGGCTCAGGTGTTCCTTTCAATGGGGGCAGACACGGCTTCTGAGGCAGCTGGAGGTGTGGAGTGCAGGTGACACTGCAGCTTAATGGGCCAGACGCGATTGTGTGGCGGCAAACACCGGGAGCAATGAATGCTATTATCAGAGACCAGAAACTGGCAGTTGAACAGCTCAGTCAGTACCTTCCCGAAAAGAAAAGTGGGTTGCTAACCCCGCCGACTCCACACCAATCCAAAACTCGCAGCAGTGGCAGGTTCAATCAAGTACGAAGTACATGCTTGATGTCAATTCCCAATTGATCTGTCAAACGGCCAAGTAAAGCTGCTACCTTCAATTGACTCTTTTTGAGCCATCCTGCGATTTCTCGGGGCCGCCATGGCGACAAGCAAAATAACCTCAGTACAGCAATCCAGGTGGTTGAATCTACGTGAACATGGCGAGAAACGAATTTTTCAAGCAAAATGTGAGATATCTGGGCGAGCAAGCGCATAATAATTCAATAGAACAAGCAAAACTATCCACTACTTGGTATCTCTAGCAACAAACTCACCGGCGGGAACTCATAAAGCGCCGCCAAAGGTATAACAAACAAGGAAAGTGATGGCAGAAGAAGGTGGAGGTCGGGTGAAAGATGAGGAACAGAGAGCACGGGGCCGCAACGGAGAAAAGAAGTTGTTCCGAAATCCCACACAACCTCTGCCCTGCTTCCCTAACTAGACGCCCGGAGCCTAAATGCTATACTTAAAACCCTTTTCTTCACCCCATCAGGTTCAAGCAGTGGCATCTCCACCTTTCGTGACGGCGGTGCTAACAGCCTTGTCCATGGTCTGGGCATCCGTCTTGTAGGACTTGAAGTGCCTGGCGGGGACGCGCTTCATGAACATTTCGTCGAGCTCTTCATAGGACCTGTGCCTAGTCTCGGGCTGGTACCACCAGATGAAGGCGATACAGGGGAAGCAGAGGCCGCCAAAGATGAACCCGAGCTTGCCACCGAGGTTGGCCTTATCCGGGTTGAAGAGGTAGGGGAGAACGAAGCTCAGAAGACGCCGAAGAGAGAGTTGACAGCAACACCGATGGAGAAGGTCTTGACCCTGAGACGAGCGGTGGCGGTCTCGGTCAAGCAAGTGTAAGCCGTCGCGCCGATGGTGACGTTGTACAGGAAGCAGTAGATGAGGATCATGGCAACTGCGCCCTTGAGCATAGCCGCAGTGCCGCCGACCGCGAGGCCGCCCATGACCCAGAGGACAACGGTCAAGATGCAGGTGCCGTACAGTGTCAGATCGCGACGGCCAGTCTTGTCAATAAGGTACCACGAAATCATGTTGCCAACCATGGACAAGACCTGCTGGATCACCTGGAGCTTGAACGACATTTCCGTGCTGAAGCCCGCTAGCTGAGCATAGTAGGTCGAGTACGAGGCCGCAAAGACGATACCGGTGAACTGCTGCACAACCATGGGAGCGATGGAGACGATGGTGCGGCGGAGGTTAGAGGAGCGGAAGCACTCGGCATACGTGACACCCTCCGTCTCCTGCTTCACTTCTTCCAGCGTATTCTTGATGGCCGCAACTCGCTTCACATCTCTTCCGCTCTCCGCGGTGTAGCCAAGGCGGTGGAGTGACTTGAGAGCCCGCTCTTCGTGGCCGCGGCTGAGGAGCCACCAGGGAGACCTGAACCACTCATGATTAGCGCTCTAGGACAAACACGCCAACATAGATAGTCTCGGTGTGGGAGCACCGCCGCTGTCGATTGGGGACGGTAAACCTACTCAGGCATGAAGAAGACAAGGATGGCGGCGATGGTGGCGAAGCCGTACTGAGCGCAAAGATGGAGCGGTACGACCACCTGTCGCCGGTGTTGCCCTCCCAGTTGACGATGAGGGCGACGGTGAACGGACCAAGGGTGAAGGAAAGGGCGATCAAGCAGGTCATGAGACCTCGTAGAGCTAGAGGGACGATCTAAATAGAACGAGGAGAGAGTATACGTTAGTTTTGGTGGTGATTGTATCCCGCGCGTGCCAGCAGAGACGGCGGGAACCGTCAACAACGTCGGGAGCTAAGACGAGCCGAGCTTACCTCGCCAATATAAGAACCCGCAACGGTCTGGAGGATACCGGTCGCGAAACCATTCAAGAACTTTCCGCCGAAGAACATTTCGTTGGTCGTGGAGACGAACTCTAGACTGATGGCACCAAAGGACACGACGAGCGCAATCATGATCGAGTTTCGGCGGCCGATCCAGTCCGCAATCTGACCAGCAATCAGGGCTCCGAAGAATTGCCTATTTCAAAGCCGCGATGCGTTAGCTTGGTGAGTTTTATGCGAGGAGGCAACAAGGGCCGCAAGATCTGGAAAGGGAGGGGGTTAAACGCACGATGCACCGGGAGCGCCCTGGAAAGCAGCCTGCCATTCGGCAGACAACACATAGTTTCCCTCATAATAAGTTCCAAAGTCCTTTCGGAACTGAGGGATACCGACAACGATGCCAGCAGCCTGGTTCTCGAAGCTGACGAGAAGGATGGTCCAGATGCCAAAGAGGCACCAGAAGAACGACCAGGGGTTGTTCTTGATGGCCTGCCACTTGGTGCTGTCGCGCTCTTCTTGGTTCGCCACGTGGGCTAACTGTTGATCGGCGCTGTCAATGTGAAGGGCGGTCTTGGGATCCTTTTCGGAATCCATGGTGACACGACAGAGGAAAAAGTAGAGGGAAACAGAGAGAAAAGAAGCCCCTTGGCGTGTAACGAAACAGAGATGAGACTGGATTGCTACTCCTGCAGTCCAAGGTGGAAAGATGTGCTTGTCAGAGGGCGTTAGATGAGTGATCGGAGCCAAGCATCAAGTTGACACCGGAGGCATGGACACGATATATATTTCTTCTTTGAGGTGCGAGATGTTCGTGGCCCGTGTTTCTCCAACTTCCCCAGATCTACGATGCGGGTGGAGGCTAACCAAGAACACGGGTTGCCCCAAAGTGATGAGAGCCTCCACTTGCCTAATTGACATTCCCCAGTTATGACCTCCTCCACATTCCCCAGGTTCATGGTCTGATGGGGGTCCAAAAGTCAAATAAAAAATCCGGGGGTCTAAGGGGCCAAGACGGTGCGGAGAAGAGGACTGGAGTGAGCCATTGGGGAAGGGGGGCTTCGAATTTCCTAATTCGCATCGCCCTTCAACTGCAACTCTCTTTCTAGCAAAGACTGCCGAGTGATACTAGCTCCTGTCTCATACCAAGGCCCGACGCCCTCCTTTCTCTATGACTCTCCAAAGAGGTGGAAAGGGGAGAAGGGGGGAGCGAGGTGGACCTTGGCAAGACGACGATACCACGGCCGGAGACTGGACCATGCAGCAGCATTGGCCGGGAGTAGCCAGCTTCGATTCGAACGAGCTAAAAGTCCGACCGACCCATCGGAAGTCCCATTGCCTGATTCGGCCGCCCACCCAACCGCCCTGGATGGCGGGCAGTCGCAGGGCCAGACTCTCTCATTTCGGTCTAGTCCGGGCCCTAGAATCAATAGGCCTGAATTTCGTCGTCCCCCAACTGCCGCCCCTTTGATGCGTTTCCCTTCTTCGAAATGGACGTGGACGGCTGACGGGGCGCGTCAGATTCCCACGCTTGGTTAGGCCAGCCTGAGATGCGTCCATGGCACGACCTGGCCGGGTTTGCCCAGCAGGGGAGGCAAAGGGAATCTCCTCTCTGCCGTCCCTGAGATGCCTCGTCCACGAGGGAAATCGCCGGCCCGCGCTCCTTTTAGTCTCAAAAGAACATCTCTGATCACGCCTGCATGGCCCTCCCTCCCTCCCTCCCTCCCATGTACTTAACTTGTATGCATGGCGTTCTGGTTTGGCTTGGTCCCTCCACCTCCCACCTCAAATCTCCCTTGGAAGCAATCATTCGATGAGACGTCCAAAACGCACTTGACCACTCGTGTGGAGAAATCTCGCAAAATCTCCTCCACCCCCGATCGATTTGAAGATCTCCTTGTCGCCCCAGACCGGCGCGATCCCACTTCACCCCGCCCTTATGGACGAGCTAGACCCTCATCTAGTATGGTCTCCCACGACGAACACCCGATGATTCTCCATTAGGAAACTCAGTGGACCCTCCCTTTGATCAGCTCGAAGGTCCCTTGAACCCCGTGTGCCTTGACTGTAAGCGTATTAGCGGCAACCCCGAGGTCGGGAAGCTCCCACTCGACTATCGTCGGTGCTTCGCTGTCTCGCCTGTCAGGTTTACGAAGCGCGGGCTCTATTCTTTTCCTAATACGAAAATTAAATACAAGTTGATTTTTTTTCACCTTCCTCTTCATCTGGGCCCGGCGCTTTATGGATGGCTCAACAATCCGCCCACCCGTTATCGGAAGCCGGCATCTCTTTCTTCTCTGGCTTCCATCTTTCAGTTTTTTTCTTGTCTCTAACTACGTCTTTCTCTGTCTTTGCTATCTTATGCATCTAGCCTGGGCGAACCCTCAGTGTATACGGATGAGACTTGCTTTCTTATGTGGTGCCTCTTAGACGGGCCCCTCGTATGACCATGACAAATACCAGTACAGGTGGGTGACACGATATCATCCGTCATGTCTTGGATTGGAGAAAGACGGCGCTCTACGATTCATGATCCCTGACAAGAGGTTTGTGTGGGCTCCTCGACTTATATCTCTCGTCCTACTCTCGAACGAAACAGCTGACCTCAATTAGCAGCAGTGCAAGGCTATCTTGTCCCTGGGACATCGCACGATGCTCGCCCCTTTACGTCCAACCCGTGAAAGATTTCAAGCGCCTACAAGACTTATGGATAGTATGTCTTTGGCTTGACGTGGATGGGGGCCGATCGAAGAGCAAGAGATATCTCCCTATACCTTGCTGACGGGCATCACTTTCTGCTGTCGAGCCGAACGAGGTCTCAGATGCCTAAAGGGCGAGCATGTTGTCAACCATGCAATGCCATTCAAATTGCCATCATGCGTCTTTAACAGGCATCCCTAAAGTCTCTCACGAGAGGATCTCCCGGATTCATCCCTGCCGATTGCTTTGTAGGGGAAGCCCTAGACCCCTATAGGTACCCAAACTGAGGTAGGCGGGGCGCGATGAGCCATATCTATGATATATATCCATCTCTAGATCCATTCAATCCCTGTTCGCGGATGGGCGCAGGCTACCCCTCGTTGACCCTCTTTACTCCTGGAGGACGGGGTTCCGTTGCCCGATCAGAGGATGAAGAAGCCTTGCCTGACGTAGAGACGTATATCACCTACTTCGGACGGGAATAGTTCTGCCAGAATGCTGAAAGGCGATACTTGCAGAGCTTTGGGTTCTGGAAGCGTCCAGGTTGAGGAATGAACAGCCTACACCAGCATTCTGGAAAATGTGCCGGCCATGAGACCTGGCTCAGGGGCATCGGGTCTAGAAGAATCTTGCATCGCCTTTTGAGAGCCCTATCATCAGCACCGTCGTGATGTATCCTGCGTCCCAAAGCCGCCTTTAACAGTGGATCGTCTCCGATATGAGTGCTCTCCTCCCTTACGCCGGGCCACTTGACTCCCCAACGCCCAACTAGAGGGCATACCCGAGAAGGAGTTCGAGAAAATGCATTAGGCTCATCGCGGTCTACTTATCCACCTTCTATTTACTAAGATGCGGAGATCGTGCATGCTCAAAGGCACGAACTCAAAATCTCGAGAACGATGGCCGGACTCTAGACCGGCGCCTTGCCGTGTTCTCCCGGAGAGCTACGCTCACCCCGTCCACCGCCAACACCGTGAAAGGCGGCAAAAGGTCAGTTCGTACAAGATCACTCTATTCACGTGCTCGAATCTCTATAGGATATCGAGAGTAGAGAAAACTGACGCAGAGATGCACTAGATATTACACTTAGCCCTAGATATCGCCAAACGGTGGTACGGCAGGAGCACTGGTCGGGGCCTCGCTCACTACAAATCTGGCATCCCGACACTAGAATCCGAGGGTAATCTAGTTCGAGCTGCTTATGACACGGATGCAAAGGTCATGAGATCTTCTAAGGCATACCAAAACAAAACTTCTGGTCTGGAGGCGCGGTTCGCCAACGAAGCTGCCTTTGCGTCCCGGGGCACAGATGAGGGGTTGCAGGAAAACACTAGTTAAAGGATTCAGCTCAACCGACGCGCCTTTTGCATCCGATGCAGCATTGACTCGGACCAAACAGCTGGATATTGCGGAGAGCATGCGAGCTCGTAGCTGTCGTGCCCGGCTTTTTGAGAAGAGGGGGAGTAGGAAGAGGAGGAGGAGGAGGCGGTCGATACCATGCGCGGCGGCCGTCCCGTCACCACAAGTCCCGTGCCGGGAAGGAGCCGGAGCCATGCAGTCCGTCACGGGAACGCGCTCGAGGGGCCCCGGAAACCCTTCTCTTGGCGTTGGGCGCCTTTAACTGCGGATAGGATCATGCAACGTTGACGAGATGCTAAGTAGGAGAGAAGCGAGTGTGGGTGTGCCCCCATTGAAAGCAACGACCTGGGCATGGCAAGCTGGCGTACAGGGCTGAAGGAACGAGGAGGGGGAGCAAGAGGAAGGGTGGGGGGGCGCGGGAACGGTTGTCAGCAGAGGCGCGGTTGCTATCACGTCGAGCGAGACCGAAGTTCTGAGGCAACTACGGTACTATGACTGCGAGGACTGCTATGACTGCTAGGCGAGGATCAGGTGGACACAAAGATGCGGGAGAGAGAACCTAAACCAGCGGCGGTGACATGTTCGTTGGCCGGATCTCGCTTCATTTCGAGGCATGACGGCGTGTCGTGTATGCTACCGGGAACGTCAAAAGCCCGCGACATAGCCACGACGGACCGACGTTCGCTGGCCCGGGTTCAGGCTCCAGCAGCAAGGTAAGCAAATGAGTCTTGCATTTTACGGTTCACGTTCATCAACAACGATGACTATTACACTTTTTTCTTCTTTTTCTTCTTTTCTTTTCTTTTTCCTTGTCGCTCTCCCTCTCTGTCGTTGTGGTATCGATTGATTACGAGCACATAGTCTCCCGCACTTGGGCCGAGGAAGACGGCGGGGAGGATGGATGACGCCCAAACCCCGGGTACTGCTATTCCTCTGGTCCCATCTTATTTGTCTTTTCTATCTTCTCTTTTCTTTTTCCCATCGTTTCCCCCTCCTTCTTTGCCCCAGACTCTAGCTGGCGAAGACCCGCCTGGTACAGCAGTTTCCTCGCGTGGCCGGCCGGCCGGCCGGCTAATGGTGGGGTTCCCGCCCAAGTCTGGATAGGAGTGGCGGGACAGAAATGAAGTGATAGTGAAAGGTATTGAGGAAAGCCTCGCAAAGTGGGCAGTGTGAACAGCGCAATCTAATGTGCGCTGGGGTTTTGATGGTTCCCTCATCTACTCTAGAAACTCACCGCCCTACACCGACTTTGGTGGTGGAGGTGGTGGAGGTGGTGGAGTGGGTGGTGGGGGTTGTTTTGTCGGGCAAAGGCGAAACAGGAACGTGTGGATCAGTGAATCGCGTGCAAGACATGGCGCGATCAAATTATCTTCGGGGATGGAGTCACAACTAGGCGACTTGTGCTGCCCACGAGATACGTGGAAATGAGAGAGTGTGTTGGCAAGGTGCAGCGAATGCAAAATGCAAGTAAGAAGGAGAAAACCGAATGTGGGAGAAAGGGAAGGGGGGCGTGTATGCTGCCAGCTCTTGAAGATCTGGAAAAGTGAAAAAAAGACGACCGGGAAGAAGCGGACGAAAGAGACCCCCAAAAAGAAAAGTAGCAAGAAAGAGCGAGGGAAGATGAACTCAAGAAGAAAGGATATTCCGATGAGTGCGAAGAAGGTGTTCCCAAGTGAAAACGGCAATATGGATGATCGAAGATCGACTGAAAGATGGTTTTGAGACCTGGGAGGTCTCGTCGTTGTCGTGTTGACATCGATTCTGATCTTCAGCTCTTTTGGGAGAGGGAGAGAGAGAGGCAAAGACGAAAGGGGGGCGTGTGATCCAAGCCCCCCTCGTCTCCTTCGCCTCGTGAAGACAAAAGTAGTTCAAAGATGACCAACTGACCATTCTCACAGTCACGGTTGCTAGGGCTGTCGCTGATTCACTTGTCTCTCACTCAACAGGGCCGAACAAGTTCATTGATCTCGCTTGATCCCTAGGCTTACTTCCCCCTTTTTCCTCTCTCTTCCCTTGTGGCATCGAGCGGTTATGGGATTTTCTCATCAAACGCCTCCAATGGGGCGCGGGGCGATGCGCGCGCTGGAATTGATTGAACGACAGGAAGCGAGAAAGAGGAACGGTGGCTTGGGGGTGGGGGCGAAGAAGACGGAGCAGGCTGCGAAAATAAAGAGAGAAGAGGCTTGTGTAGCAGGGGTGCGATGGAAATTTCAATGCTGTTCTTATTCGGGCGGGCCGTGGACAGGATATCTTCGAGTTGTGCAGGCATCAATTTTGGAGTAGCGGGCAATAGGATCTCAATAACAAGTTACTGATCAGTGCCAACAAGGTCCAGGGACTTGGCTGACTTTCTGTGTCCGAGTTTGCGGTCATTCGGCCGTCGAAGGTGAAGACCCTGCCTAGGGGTCCTCTGACAGGGTTTCTTCTTGGGATGAAGCCGAGCCCGGATGGAGGGCGGGGGTATCTAGGGGAAAGAGAGGAAGGAAACGGCGTGAGTGAGGTTTCCACGTGCGAGGGTGCACGAGGTTGCGGGATGGACGAATGGACTGATGAATGTTTAGATGGAGTGCATGTACTTGTATTCATGGCGGAAAGAGAGCTTGACGGACTGGTTTGGGCAAAAGATAAAAATCCCCGACTTGGTAATTCACAGACATTGACAGACTCGAGCACTCGAAGGTTTCCCTAAAAATGCCCATACCGTCAGGATCGTGGTCAAGGGGCGTGTGTGTGTGTGTGCTCTTGGGGATCCTCTGTCGTGTTGTGTCGTGTCGTCCTTTCCTGGGGTTCCATGCTACCTGCAGACGCCTCGGTACGTCGCATCCATGCCCTCTGCCCCCATGTACAAGTAGTGTATTCTTCTCGACAGCCCAAAGATGGATTGGGAGGGGGGAACGGACCCAGAGAATCGCTGGGACTGGACTGGGCGAGCTGGGGGTGAAAGTGGTAAAGTGTGGGACTGGGCTGTGGGACCTGGAGACTGGGGATTGGAGACTGGAGACTGGGGACTTGGGACTTGGGACTGGGGAGCAAGCGGTCGCCGGACCCAGGAACGGGTCGCGTCAGGGATCTCTTGCGGTTACGTCGATCAGACGCTCCGGCGTGTATCAAGTTTGTTCTTTGCTGTCGAGGTGAGATATATGGATGACTGCCACATTCGAGAGAGAACATGCAGCGATAACGTCCTTTGTTTCGTCAAAGTCGACACCTTGGCCTGTTTTCTCGCCTCTCGAGTTGCATAGATCCATTTGTTTGGTTTGTACATGTTGGGTCCAGCTCAAGACCAACAAACACTTGGCCCATCCTACCGTCCACAAACTCACGAGACTTCCATCTCACACTCGGCCTGGCATCGTGCGAGGCGAGATTGGACGCACGTTCATCTAGTTCTTTTTTCGCTTTCTGTTTCCTTTCTTCCGAACCCAAACATCGGGGAGTTTTCCCTCCCATCTTCTAGTTTCTTTTTTTTTCGTCGCTTGAGGCGCTGGAGGAGGGGTATCAGAAATGTGGCTTCCCGCGATTGCAACCTCGCAATAACAAGACATTTGAAGTGCTTTCTAAGTGCTTTTCGAGCTTCCACGAAATACGTGCTCTTCTATTGACGTGGGCCCGATTCCGCAACACGTGGGATTTCACGCCGACAGCCTCCCCGCTTGGGTACTGTCGAGCACACACTGCACTTTGAATGTTCTTCCTAAATGCGGATAGACAATCCTAAGGAGATGTCTAGAGATGGAACATGTGTAGAAGTACGTCCATGACATTACCAGGTCTACGGAATAATTGTAGAAGATGGCGAGCCCTGGGGCTCAACCTCCAGCTCTTTTCCTACATGTAGTCTAAGTGTGCAGCGCCGGATGAACCCGGCGCACACAAGATGCACGACGTTTTAGTGGCTGCCTCCCGCAACCGGTCGTTCGAGGGAGGGACTGGATGGAGGAGGGAGAGAAGCCGGGGGTTAGCTGGGAATAGCAAGGAGTGGGGGAATAACGAAAGAAGGAAACCCGAAATGATAAAACAGAGACATTGGCCGCACCGCACCACAACTAGCCATGGCCATTGTGCGACACCGACTTGGAACGAGAATTGTCGGTTTCAAGCCCGCCATCAACCATCAATCCAATTCTGGATGCCCGCCTCTCCATCACACCCACCAGCTCCTCCGTTTCATAGTGGCTCCAACACCTTAAAGAGGTGTGAGGACTTACGATGATGAAGGAAGGAAGAAAAGAAGAAAACGACTCGTGAAGATACAAAAGGTGGCCTTGGTCAATGGATGTGATACAGAGTAAAAAGAAGGTCAAAAGAAAAATGAGTAGAACAGGGGCGCATTCCACCCGTTTGCCAGCGAAGAACTCTTCGCAACCTTCTCGTCGGATTGCGCCGCTCCCCCTCTCCCTCCCAGCGATTCTGAGAGACTACAATTGACGTACAGGACAAATCCGAACTTCCATAGGCAGTTGCAGGCGGGAACAGCAGAGGAAAAGAAGAGGGTGGGAGGGAGAGGCAACCGCAAAAAAGGGACCGAAAAATAAAAAACGATTCGAGCTGAACTGGTCGGCTGTTCCCACAAGCCCCCTTTTCCCACCCCCAAAAAGACCTCTTGCGATCTTTTCTGGAGATTGAACGCCAGAGGGTTTTCTGGTGAGATCCGGCCGACAACTGGCACTATCTTTTTCCATCGGCCAATGGCCACGTGAGGCAGTAGCCGACTCCTGATTACGAAGGACGGTGACTGGCTGGACTCCACTTGGCCTTCCCACCACCCCCTTGTCACTTGGAAAAGGGAACAGCAGTTGGACTCAAAAGAGTGCTTGCTCTGCTGCCATTTGATGTACAACCCTGCGAGGCAATCTGGTATCGGTACTTGTCAAGACGGGCCTCCTTGTACTCGCCCATTCCTCACCTCGTCAGACGCCAGCTCGACCTGCTTGCCTGCGCCTGCACCCACACGCAAGCAGCTCAAAAACTTGTGCCCA